CAACTGGAGAGTGCACCTTTCCTCTAAGCCATCATTTTCCTTCACTCACACACTCCTACTCATACCCACCAGTCTTGTTCTGAACATGAGAGCAAGCTGCAGGATGATGCCCCTAAATATATCACTCCTAATATGTATGTAATTTCCCCAAACTCTTATATAGGTTGACAGTACAATCCTCCAAGTAAGGACATATTAGTACATTATTCTCCAATCCACAGACACCATTTATATTTTACCCATAATGACTCTTTTTCTACTTCAGAACCCATCTGGGAACATTCAGTGTGTTTAGTTATCATGTGTCTTCAGTTTTCTCCAATCTGGAGACTACAGGCCTTACCTTTTGTAAGACAACCCCCGAAGTGGATCTATCTGGTGTTTCCCTACCATGAGAGGCAGATCATGCATTCTTGGCAGGGATATCACAGAAATGAGTTTGTGCCTTCCTAAGTGAATCACTCATTTCAGGGGCGTAAGATGTTGATTGGTCCCATGCATGGTGATGTTAATACTGATCACCACCTAGTCACATTAGTGTCTAGGGTTATACCAATATCCTATTCCTCAAATCTTCCTCCTAGCCTTAGTCTCCACTGACATAAGACTGTTCATAGCATTTTCTACTCTAAGACTATGTTCACATTTTTATTTCTAATATTTTAAATTTGTATAATCTCTTTCCCTATCACCCTTATTGCATGCTTGTTTTTGAGTCTTTTGAAAGACTAATAAAATTATCTTTAGTTTGGCTGATCTTCAATTTTTCTTTTGCTTTTTATTTCACTAATTTCTGCTTTTATATTTGTCTCTATTTTGCTTTCTTTAGAACTCCTCATGTATCTTTCAATTCCTTGAGTTAAATATATATTTAAAAATATGTCCTTATTTTTCATAGGTCCATTTAAGACTATAAATTTACATCTTAAATACTGATGTAGCTGCATTTCAATGAAAAAAATCATTCCTTATTCAGAATAAATAAGCCCTCTTACTTATAGGGAATATGTGAAAGTAAGCTCTGTTTCCTGGCCTCTAATCAATTTTTTTAAAGGTAGATTACTAATGTATAATTTACATGCAGTAAAAATCCACCCTTTTGGGCTCAGTTGTGGAGTACTTGCCTAGCATGCATGAGAACATATTTTAAATAACCAACACTTAAAAAAATCACCCTTTTGAGATATATAATTCTGAGTTTTGAGTCATATAACCTCAACCACAACCACGATGAAGTGAACAGGAGGACATTCCCATTTCACCAAAGAGTCCCCTCCTTCCACTCTTAGTTCCTATTCCTAGCAACCATTGAACTGAACTCTATGCCCATTCTTTTGCCTTCAGAATGTGTATCAGTTCTTTTTCTTATATTACATGAATGTAAAAAGATTTGTCCATTCTACAATTGGTGGATAAAGCCTCACATTATCTGGCCTCCTCTAAAATTTCTGATTCCTTCTCCAGTCAATCCTCCGCCTGTTCACTTCATTCCAACCACATGAACTGAAAAATCTGTAATACGCCAAGCATGATCCCGCCACAGGACCATATTACCTGCTGCAATTATGTTAATTGCAGTTCACTATGATGGTCTTCCTTACTCCTTCCACTCTTCACCTAAATGTTTTTTAAGTTATTAAAAACTATGAATTACTTTGTACTTCCTGCCCTGTGCCAACACGCCCTATTCCATTACCTTTATTTCTTCATAGTACTTATCCTTTCTTTATAGTTTGTTGTCTGCATCACTAAATTAAAAACCTCATGAAATTTTTTTTATTATTTAATTTTTTGTCTCATATACTGCTGTAGTTTTAGCACTAGAACAGAGCTTGACAATAAATGTTGAATAATGTCCAGTTATTTGGATTTCATAATTTCATTTTTATTTTTTTAGTTTACCTTTCACAATTCTAAGTATACTTACCTTAAGTTCTTTCTCAGGCTATTATTTTTATCTTGAGTGGATTGAAATTTCAAAAGGTATTGGTTAGTTGTTTTTTACTATCAGATTTCTTCATGTCAAATTTCTTTGATATTTTTTCTGATAATTTTTTTCCTGTTTACTATTTAAAATTGTATTTCCTGCTTCCCAAAGGAATACATGTTTATTATTAAAATTTATCCAAGTCATGGCACCAATGAGAGAAAAGTTAAATTGACACTTTTTTTTTTCTTGTAGTCTGAGGCCTCTTATCAAGCCTGTTGAGTCTGCTGTTTGTATTTTAATGTTAGCTTCAGTGTGGCTTTGGCCAGGGAGATTGCTGCCTAGGGCTTTACAATGAACTATGCCAATAGAAGAAGGGAGGAGTATTCTAGGTCCCTTGTTTGTCTAGAAGTAGAGTCTCTGGAGGAATCCAGAGTTTTAGTGGCAAGTAGAAACTGGGCAGGGGAGCAAGAGGAACAAAGGGAAGGCTTAGAGTGCAGAAAGGAGAAAGCCTGCACATAAGGGATTTCCTTCCATTTTCCTGAGCACTTGCAAAAGTTATGAAGATCCCATAAAATAATGGAAACAAAGGTGCTGTTGGTGGCCTTCTAGATCCATTGGCCAAGTCATAGAAGGGCATGACTGAGTGGAAAGTTGAATTAGTTGATGGGCCTTCAGATCTGGAGCCACACGGAGAGGGGCTAAGTGGGCAAGGAGGCAGATGAGTCAGGTGAGTCAAATGGGATTTTAGATTGGGAGTTCCCCATGGCAAGTTGAAATAGTGGAGTGGCTAGAGGCAGGCATCCCTGGCTCTAGTCTAAACCAGAGTAGGAGAGAGGACAACAGTGAAGGGGGGTCATCACCACACAATTCACTGGTCCAGGGCTGAAGCCTTTCTGGGACTGAGAAGCGGGTAGTCTCCCGATAATTCCCTAGTCCTGGGTTTTGCCATTCATTAGGTCTTTGTACCTGGCCAGGGCTTTTGTGAGCTCTGCTGAGGAGCCGAGAACCAAGACCCAAGAGTGAACTCGCCAAGGGGAAGGGATGGGAAGGTCAAGAATCTTGGTGTTGGGCCAACATCTAAGTCTCCTCTAAAGAGGAGACTTGTCACTGCCGTAGACTTGTGAGGAGGGGAGGGGAAGGGTGAAGTCACTTACCCAAATGAAGCTGGTGTGGGGATGCAAAAGAAGAGCACTCAGTGAATGGAAGAAGGCGTGTGGTGACTGTCCTGGGCCCTAAGGCAGCTTAAATCCCCCCCCCCGGGGGTGGGGGGCAAAGCTGATGGGAGAACCTGATAGAGTCACTGGCATCAATGAAAGAAAAGTGGCACACACACAGCTGGGATAAGAAGCGAGTTTATTGTTAGGAGCCTGAAAAGGCTGCTGTGCACAAAAAGAGGGACAGTAGCAGCAAGGAGGGAGAGCAGCAACAACTCACTTAGGGATCATGCTAGGGGCAGGTATAGTCTTGACTGACATAATAGTAAGCATCCCCAGATCTTGTGGAAGGCAAGATTGTTTCTTGGGAACAGAGACAGGCAGCTTTCCTATCTCTCAGAGGGGAACAGGAAAACTGGCATGTCCCTTTCTCTTCTCACAGAGAGAACAGGAAAACCAGTGCATCCCCATCTCAGGGTCCAATAAGTTGTCTCCTATCTATCTCTCAATGAGAGAACAGGGAGAGACCAGCACATCTCCAGGCCGGTAGGTTTTATCTATGGCTAGTTTCTATTTCTTGGGAACACTATTCTTAAAGTGGGGGTGGGGAAAAGGAAGATGGCTGCAATTATGCTAACAGATCCCATTCTTATGGGTGTACCTGACGGTAGGATTCACTATGGTGTATTCATATAAGTACATATGAAAATTATTTTGGATTTATCCCACTGTCTTTCCTTTTCCTATCCCACATCCCTTTCCTAATACAATTAGAAAAATCATCTGTTCTTCTGTTACTCAAAGATAACCACAGCATTTTGTCATATGATCATTCCCAACTTTTTAGAAATGAATTATGATCATTCTGTACATAATCCACAGCAAGAAAAATAATGTATATAAGTCCTGGACAAAAATATTGGGTCTCAGTATGAAATTAATTTCCTGGTATGTTGATAACCTTAATCCTACTTGATGTTTTATTGGACATATCCCTCCCAAAGCCGAGATGCTCATACCTATTTGTCCTGATGAAAGATGAAAGTCAAATACTTAAAACAGGTCTTTTTCTCTTTAAAAACTAGCTTTATTTAAAAGAATCTTCAGCATAATAACACTATAGGAAACAAACTTACCATACACATTATTCAAGAAAGCCTGCTATACATCATTTCTACCAATAATAGGTCTATATACTGACATTCTCTGTACAATGCACAAATGACATTAGCATTATCCCTGAAAAGAATGGCCAACAATAACATGGACTGTCTTGACAGTGGAACCTTTATTTGTTTTATTACTTTAGACTAAAAAACTGAAAAGTGGAAGGCAAAGTAAAATCCAGTTTTAAATTCTAGCATGGTGTTTAGGGAAGAAGGGAAAAGGATCAGAAGGGAGAAACTGTAAGAGTTAAACATCTCAAAAATATAAAGTAGAACTGGCTTACTACTATTTAGAGTAATTGTTTAAAAGTATTTAGAACCGAAAATGTAATTAACACTTGGAAGCCTTTAAACTAACTACCCCATGATTTACTATAATCTATCAGTTACCAAGACAATTTTATTTCTTTGAAAATTGTAATATATATAAACCACATAAGGATAATAAGGAATTTGGAGTGATCTAGTAATCTCATACTTAAACTTTGCCACAAAACAGTTCATGATCATTTAATACTAATACTTCTTTAAATCTCTATAATTAAAACAGAAACACCCAGTTCTAAAAGATTGTATGTAAAAGTATTAGACACACACACACACAGAGTACACACACACAATCCCTAACATGTAATATTAAAATTTTTAACACAAAAAATAGACCTATGAAAATATGGGCACTCAAGTAAAATATAATGAGATTATGACACAGTATGTTACCTGGCATTTAAAAAAAATATTAAGACTAAGTCAGATTTATTGCTATATTAATCCTATCAAAAGTTGACAATCAAAAGTACAAAACATACCACAACCACCATGCCAAATATGATGCTGTACAGAAATGTTATTAACATAATATAGGTATACATTTATTTTCTAACATACTCACTGGTGTAGTAAAACATTCATTCAGGACAGTTTAATTGATAAAAGTCTAATATCTTTAACACTTTTAAAAGATATGCAGTTTAAGCACTCAGGAGCAGGGTTTTTTTCTTTCAAGCATGTGATTTCAAATATACAAACGTGCACTGGCCAAGTATCATCTATTACAATTCTTTTGGTTGTTTTTATGACAAAATAAGAATGATTTAAAACTAATTTTCTTAAATAAATGCCTCTAAAATTTAAAAACGTTTTTAATTTGCCTTCAAAATTAAACATTTTTCTTTAAATCTTGATTATGACTTTTATTAACAAGTCTTCCCATCAGATAATACAAAGTAAACTGCATTCAAGTCTTTGTATCAACAGTACAAATTCCAAGTAAAGTAGAGGAGTTTTATGGTATCTTAATCACTTCTTAATAAGTGAAGATTAGTATTACTACTTATTTTGGTCATGGTGGAGAGAATGATACTACTTTTGGTTGGGAGATATCTGCTTAAGTTCAATGTCTATGGTATAATTTTAGTAGTATGGGCTAAAAGAATACTAATAAGCACTGTCAGTTAATTTCTTGGTAAATCATACCTACAGAAGATCAAATTTAAAATTTTATACAAATTTTAGTGTTTTATGAGTATCATAAATTGCTAACACCAATTTTACTCCTCTCTCACATTTCAAAGACATCAGACCATCTACTAATCCATAAATATTGATGTTTCACATACTTCATAGAGTAGCTTAAAACATACCAGCATAAGAAGTAATTAGTATTACATAGTAATTTCCTTTGCCATAGGAATAAATGTTGGACAAAGTCTGGAAACATTTTGTTTTCCAATTTGAATTACAGTAATTTTGTCACAGACCACAGCACTAGTGCATGTATTACTTTAGACATGCTCTAAGAACAAAACAAAAATTACTGCAAAAATACATGTCACCAATGTGGAACACATTCAGATTTGTATAAAAGTACTGAACTAATATCCCAAAAAGAGGTATATGTAAACAGTACATAAGGAAGAAATAGTTTTAATATGAAACAATCATTTAAGTCACATACATCATGATAAGAAGCAGGACTTTCTTTTATAAAAGATAACATTTTAACTAACAAGCAACATCATCTATATTATCTACAGAATAAGAAAGGTACCAATATTTAGAGTAAGTTTTAATATAATTGCAAGTAAATGTATTATTGATAAAATATGACAAAGATGAATCTTATCCATTGGATTTCATTTAAAGTTTTTAATAAGCACAGGCAGTTTGTGATGTGTTAATGCCTGGCACACACATGGCCATTTTCTTCCCTTCATTTCCCTTTAACCACTTGTCTTGGAAGATGTTATTGTTATCCCTAGCCTGCTCACTCCAGAGATGCCTGCAAACCTCTCTCTACCAAGAGCTCGAAAACGCAGTTGTGACTTTTATACTGCTCTACTGGATAAATGAAAAAGAAAGGGAAAGTTTCTCAAATTTGAAAATGAGGAAATCTTTTGAGTTCAGAATTAGAGGACAGCAAGTTGTGAAAAGGCAAAACAACCTAAAGAAATTAGAAATAGTCTTAAGACAAAACCAGTTAATTTGCTAAAAATACTGTTTTCCCTGATGCCTGAAATGTGGTCATACAGTGTAAAATGGTAATATTAAAGATTCATTTTGAAGATTTTTTTAAAAAAATTAAGTCACTTTCTCCATTATCTTCACTCATATGAGCAGAAAAATGCTTTTCTCTTAAATCTAGCCAACAGATAACCACACAAACATAATTTCTGATTAGAGGAAAGATGGGAAAATTTGAGAGACAGAGCATCCAGGAGGGGGAAAGACAAGCTTGTTTGTGCAGCATTACACCAGAGAGTTTAAAACTGTAAAAGAGCCACTGGGAAACAACTCACGGGACAGAACTTAACCTTCCTCAACACAGAAAAAAGTAAAGATCTCTGTTTTTTTTCTCTTACATTGACTGGTTTCCTTAAGAAAACTGAAATCTCAGTATAACAGCAGTTAACTACATTATGGTTTAAATACACCTTTATGAGCTTCCCTAGGAATCTAATCATTTTATATAGAGTTCCAAGCCACTATTTACAAATGAACTTTGGGAGCCTGGATGCTTTTCAACTTTTTTAATTAAAAAAAAAAAAAAGTCTAAAATAGCACAAATGCTCATGCATATGAAAACTCTGTACATTGCAAAAGAAATCCAAATACTGTCTAACTCCCTTTTAAAAAATCATTGCTTATGTTTTCTTACTATTAAATACAATTAGTATGCTGGATAATAAATACTAGCATTCTAATTTGTTCAAGACACAAAAGTTTGAAAGCATGTTAGATGAAAACTCTTGGTACTGATTTTATGTGGATGATTAAAGTCAGCAGATTTCATGGTGACCCATACTCTTAAAGAGTTTTTTTCTGCCACTAAGCAGAACTGGGAGTCTGGGCAGGGGGGGGGGGGGAACCTACCAAAAAACCTGATTTACATTGTGCTTATCTATGAAGACTAAGAACTAGTACAAGAAAATCTTCAGTTTCATGTATATAACCTTCTAATTTGGGTAACAAGAATCATAATAGCAGTACTCTAAAGCATTTTACTCAAAAGGAAATCACTGATCACAAATCTAATTCTAAGCACTCTATCTGAAGAACAATTAATTTTCTATTATAAACTAAGCTGTTTCAGTATTAGCGTGTCCAGTAACATCTAGAAGAAGTTGACCAGGAATCATGAATGAGCAAAGCAAGTCCTAAGAAAGAAACTGATGCTTGAAAACTTTTCATTAGTAACTTGGCATTGGTGAGTGAGCCTAGATGCTAATATTTAGCCATTTTGAACTTTAGTGAAACTTGAGAATGTAGGAGAAATTCTAATCCTACTTGGTTGTGTGTCCTTGTATATGTGTGCACGAGATGAGGCTTTTCAGGGAAGGAAAGGGATAATATCTTGAAAGATACAATTCCACCACCTATATCCATCACTGCATATTTCTGTAGTTGAGAGAAGCTCAACACTTTTCCTAAGAAAATAGTATCAATTTGTTTAATGGACTTTTTGTGACAAATTGGACAAATTTTCTGGCCATTCTCATAATTCATCATTTTTCCTACCCCAAAGCACCTACCATCTATATAATTTTAGAGTGTTGTAGAGACAAATGTAGAATTAGTAAAAAATTAATTCAAACACATGAAAATATTCATCAGGAATGATTATAGTTTGGTTGATTTATGTCAGAATCAATCATAGGTTTTCCTTTAGAACCATTAGATTCTTAGAGTAAGGTGTTTTGAAAACCTAAACACTTGAATAAAAATTTATTTGTTTATATGGTTTTTTAAAAACCACTTAATGAAAGAAATACCTTATAAATATTTTAGATTAGCCTGGGAGAGGTTATTTCATTTTTACAAAAACAGGTAACTACTTAAAGTGTAAGCAACGAAGGTTTTAAGAAACTGCATACTCAATTTTAGCAATGAGGGGCTCAGTGGTAGAGCACTAGCCTAGCACCTAAATAAAGTAAAGGTATTGTGTCCATCTACAACTAAAAAAAATATTTTAAAAAAAATTTAGTAATGAGCACAACTCAAGTACACACTGCCACATCAAGTGTTAAATCCTGAGGGCATTGGAAGGTTCCATTAAAAATATCTATCTAGTTCAACTCAGTCAAAAAAAGTCATGATCTGATGCTAGAAGTGGTGATATAGCATGTACTCTATCATTTCTTAAAAATCATTACTCAAGAAAATTTCAGGAAAAACAAAACTAGGTCCTTCAATGTTTAGAAAATTATCTCTCTTTAACAAAACTACAAAGTAAGCAAAATGGAATCTTCAGGTATGTACTGAACATCATCAAAATGCCAAAGTCAGCCCAAAACAATGCATTTTGACCTGCTTCAATTGGTAAAGTTTTCACACAAAAGAACACCTAGTATTAGAGTTTATCTCATTTCATCTCCTAAAATTGTGAAGATATACAACTCTGAAAATATTTTGAACTCACCTCTAACTAGTTGAGGGTAGAAGGAGAAAACTATTACCTGTACCATATGAAATTGCTGTTTTGTGGGTCAAAATTAAAACACTATTTTTAAAAGTAAGTTTTATTCCATTAAGATATGTATCAGAAGCATTAGCATTAGTTTTCTCCATTTTTATAGAATTCATCATTTTCTTAGGATGTATATATTGTTCAAATACTCTAGTTACTGATTCTCAGTTGGGGAACATGTTGTTTCTTAGAAAAAGCTCCAAATGATGAAAAAGATGGTAATCCATTGAAGGTCCAGGAACTATGATAGATAATGACAAAATTTCACCACCCAAGTCAATTAACTTTGCTTTAGTGACTTGCGACATGTAAAGTCCTGTCATGTAGAAATGAGGGTTTGTTAACCAAAGGATGTTGTTAAATCGAAATTTTCATACATAATTCAGATTTCTTGGCAACATGCTGCTGCTGTCATTGCTTCCCCAGGTTCAAATTGTAGTAATTATCTCCTTCAAGGATCACCATTGTCTTCCAAACTTTTTTGGTTGCAATGATAAAGGTGGTGAATTATTAGAGTTTCATCAACATTCAATCATTGTATAAATTACTATCAATTGTCATACTGTATCTTTTTATTTATTTGGTCACCAGTTATGATCTGCTCTCAACATGTTTTGTTTTGTTTTGTTTTCTATTTGAGTCTGAGTGAGCATACCTTCAACTGTAACTGTTCTTTCTCTCTCTAGAGTGTAATCTCGGTTCCATTTTTACATATCACCCAGTCACAGCAAAAACTCCTTAGCCTTCAGCAAGGCCTCAAATTACTGATTGTTTGTAAGTTAGCTTTCATCTAAGCTCTTAATTGGTCTTTATTTACATGGATTTTGATCTTCCCTGAGGTACATATTGGAAATTCAGATCCCCAGAACAAGAATTTTCAAACTAAGTAGTTAGTTCTTTTGCCAGCAGAGTCCTCTAAAGCCAAACCGGTGTTTCTACCTTCTTCATTTGCAATATGTCCAAGTTTAAAATCATAAAAAAGAAAGTGTTCACAATTCTTCGGAGGACACCATATTATTTATTTCTCTGGACAACAATAACAAAACAACTCAATAACCAAAGAAAATTAAAACCAAAATACTATCATAATTCTAAATAGTAATACTGGAAACATACTTTATGACAACTTTACTAAATGCAGTCAATTTTCAACTGATCTAATATTAGCAATTTCATGTGATACAATCCACAAGTTAATAAACAAATGCTGAGAATCTATATGCTAAAATCTGTCTCTGTCTCATATCTGTATACATATCCTGGAAAGACTAATTTTAAAGTATGAAATTCACTTATTTCAAAGACCCTAGTAGAGGAGGAATCTGGTGTCATACTCTTCTTATTTAAAATAAATCCATTAAAATGTGTGCTTTCCCCCATGTTATACCTCCACATATTATGTTTGGAAATATTTAAATGGATCCTTCAGAAACTTTTTAATTAAATGTTTAATGTGATACAGCCAAAATTCACCACTGAAATACACATTTTAAAAGTTAAAACTTGCCTAGATTTGTTATATTATTTTGAAGCTTCAAGAGGCTTTTATGTTTATGATAAATAACTACTAACATTTATTTGTTTCTAAAGTACCCCACATACATTATCCTCATTTAAGAGAGCAAACAAAGACAATACAAAGTTGCACTAGTAATGAAGTGAAATATTAATAAAAACTAAAAGGTAAATGTTTTCTGTGTGTATTTAAAAAAATAACATAAAACATTAAAATCCTGTGTCACCAAACCTCTGTAATACAGAGGGGAAAACCCCACTTTAGTTAATGCTTGTGATTAAGCATCACTGCCCACTGCAGGTGGACCAAAAGTTTCTCTAGTGCGCATTAGTTGGACATCTTTATCAGCCATACAGGTATCACAGCCCCATACTGCTGATGCTTCTGCTGTTAGTAGGCCATAAGCTGTTTCAGTCATTCCAGTACAGATCCGGTGAAACCATTTCTGACAAGAGGCCTCACATAAGATGGCATCCTGATCATCATTCACTTCATTTGTACAAATTCCACAAGGATACACTGGGTCAGAAGACGAATGGCCATGACGGCTTGGGTGGAGAGATGATTTATTGCTTTTTTCAGTGGTGCAGGCATCTGTTGCACCTCTAGGTTGTCGTGGCTTGTTCTGTGTCCCATTTGCATGGCTGTTGTTTGTAGCTTCAGTGCTACTTGAACGACTGTTCTCTTGATTTACTGCATTGTTTCGATTAACATTTTTTAATTCAATATTGCTCTGATTCACTGTATCCTCCATATTTAAGTGAGGTGGATGAGCAGATGAATTTTGATTAGTGTTTTTAGTTGCTCCTTGACTAAAGTCTTGTTTCGGAGGTGGTGCTTTTGCTTGACCAAAAGTGTTTGGAGGTGGAATAAAAGAATGATTAGATTCTAATGGAGAAGTAAAACTTGAATTATTTCCAGGGACAAAATTAGATGCCAAATCAGGGTTAGATACTTGGCTAGTATTCTGTGGAGGAATCTGATTAAAGTTTTCAGCAGGATTTTGTCTAAAATGTTGATTAGGCATGTTAATGTTCTGATTTAGTACATTATTATAAGATGGATTTCCAAAACTTGAATTATCATGTGGCCCAAAGTTAAAAGCGTGAGGTCGATTAAAACCCATGCCCAAAGGATTCTGAGGAAATGGGTGTGGCTGATTCCTGAGCGAATAAGGTCCACAATATGGGGAAGACATTCTTGGGGGAACGTGAGGTGGCATTCTGAATGTGCTATAGCCTCCAAAGCCAGGATAACCAGGGCCAAGATATGGATTTGATGAAGGTAGTGGTTTATAGGAAATAGTATTATAGTTGTCATCAAATGGATTAGCAGCCACTAGATGGTCAGAGTTTGGATTCGGTGGTGGAGCATACTCAGATAATGGAGGAAAAGAAGGTCCCTGAAAAGAAAATGTAAAGTTCATGTTCTTAACTAAAGAAGTCATTACAATTTTCCTGTTATCTTAATACCTATGAATTTGGTTTTAGTCAAGTTTCTCTTATGGTGTTATAAAAATTTAATTTCTTCACTTGACCTTTCAATTACAAATAATTTTAACATATAATTATGCTTAATGATAAAAATAGTCATGTCTCATTTAGGAAAGGAAATAAGTATGCTTTTCTGAGCTCAAATCCATTGTTATTTCAAATCTCTCAAGTATTTAACCTTCAAAAGAAGTTTCATTATCATAATTTTCATTTAGTATGTTTTCCTGTAACTAAACACTTTAACTTAAAACACTAAAGCCAAACTACCTTTTAGATCCCTCCAACCCAAAATACCTTTTAGATCCTTCAAAAATCATAAAATTAAATAACAATAAATAGGATCTAATTTTTTTCCTCTTAGCTTAACTTCAGGGAGATACAATTAAAGCATTACCAAAACACTAAGCTCTAGACTTCACACTGGAAAAATAAATTGCCAGATTTAAATCACATTGCAAGTTTATCAGATAGTGGCCAAAATGGAAAGGCAAAGTTATTTGTACAAATGTCATACTTATTTATAGCCTTTATTATCAAAAGAGTGCTTCAAACTTAAAGAATAAAGCCATAAAAGCCTGTGTATATAATCATTTATTACAACCACAAGTTTCAATAATGGATGCCTCCATCATAATTGCTTTGTGAAAAATGCACATAACACTGAATTACTATAACAACTTAATATTACTTCAGGTTAAATTTGTTTGTACATATTTTTTAAATATTGTAATAGAACGCAGGCACTTTTGCCATTAAAAAATCTTTAAGTAAGATTTAAGAACAAGTATTTTAATTTGTCTGCCTATACTTACCTTGAACTATTTACTCTAGGCCTACAATCCAAAGTTAGTCATTGATTGAGGAATAAAAAACAAACAAAAAATCACTGAGGAATTCACTATTAGGTTCTGGATAAAGACAGAAAACAATGTCCATTATCAAATTTAAAATTTGCTTTATTAGCCTGATCATACCAACAAGGGAAAACTATTACTAAAGAAAATGTCAATTTACCTGTGTATTCGCCTTTCGTTTTTTCTTATCTGGGCTTCCTAGTTGCACACCTGGTCCTCCTAACCCATCCAGTCCACTATCACCACCTAAAAAAAAAAAAAAAAAAAAAAAAAATTCCCAATAATATTTCCACTTGTAAATGAAATAATTTTATCTCTTATAGCAATACCTATTATATTTAATCTATTAATATGCTTTCTATTTTCATTAGATGAAAGCAATATTCAGCTTTTAGTATCTTTGGTCTTTAGAAAGTCTTTTCCATAGTTTCATACAGAAACAGTCATTCTTCTCTGCTTCCATATTTGTTATTGGGGTTTATATTTTGTTCCTAGCACTTCATTCTGTTTCCTGGCTGTCATGAACTGAGCAGTTTTCCTCTGCCATCTTTTAGCCATGATGTTCTGCCTCACCTCAGGTCCAAAGCAATGGAACTGGCTGACCATGGGATGAACCTGTTAAATAGTAAGCCTTTACAATTTAACATTTCCTCCTCTAAGTTATTCTTGTCTCATACTAGTTACAGTAATGCAAAGCTGACTAAAACATTAGTTTGTTTCCAAAGATAATTGGTATTTAGATCTAGACCAGAAGATGGTTTCTTCTTCCATCAAGGGACACAATATTTCTTGTTGCTTTTCTTTAGCACTTGTTTTAATTTTCTATTGTATAAATTATCACACATTTGGGTACTTAAAACAATGTCCATTTGTGGGTAGATGTGTAGTTCAGTGGTATAATGTATCCTTAGCATGTGAGGCCCTGGGTTCAATACCCAGAATAAAAAAACAAACAAAAAAGCCCATTTAAACAGAAGTGGAGAAAATACTTTCTAACTCATTCATTCATTCATTCTATTAGGCCAGTATTACCTTAATACCAAAGAAAGATAAGAAGAGAGTTTTCAAGATGGTGGATTAGAAACAACCAACACTCAACTGCTTATCTACAACTTGGAATCAAAACAACTAGAAAGCTGCTACTCTTCCAGGTTAGTGACTGTGGGGAAAAGCTTGAGTTCAATAGTGAACAGAGGCTTGGAGAAGCTCAGATACTCTGGATAGTGGAAGAGAGAATGAGAAAGAGTGCCCCAACACTGAGTATATGGCAGCAGGTAGGGAGAGTGGAGAAATAAGGGAGACCCACTACACAGAAGCAAAGAAATTGGCACAATCAGAAGGGCATTGTGAACCCTGAACATAACTGACCTAAGATCTGCCTAACAGGCTGGGGCTGGAGAAGTTCTCTGCACCTGACAACCAAAATGTTGGTTTTCATCTTGGAAGGCTAGCTTGCTATTCTGGGAAACAAAAAAAAAACAAAAATTTTCCTATTTCTTAGAACCTGTGGCAAACATTACTACACTGTCTCAGTAAGCAAGTTTATTTATTTATTTTTTTTGTAGGACGTCTTATTTTTATTAGCATAAGATCTCTGACATCATGTTCAGAGGTGTTAGGGTAGGAAAGAACAAGAGGAACCCTAAAGTCAGGGGGAAAATGAAAAAGAAACAGAGAAATAGGGACAAAGAATAATTCAGTGGTTTTATCTTGGAAGTCAAAGTCAGAGGGAAATCTAAAGTTTTTTTTTCCCCCAGTATTAAAATTCTTTTTTCTTTTTTAAAGAGAGAGAGAGAGAGAGAGAATTTTTAAATATTTATTGTTTAGTTTTTCGGCAGACACAACATCTTTATTTGTATGCGGTGCTGAGGATCGAACCCAGCGCCGCGTGCATGCCAGGCAAGCACACTACCACTTGAGCCACATCCCCAGCCCAAAATTCTTTTTTTTTTAAAGCAAAAGTTTGCTTGCTGGGGCTGGGGATGTGGCTCAAGCGGTAGCGCGATCGCCTGGCATGTGTGCGGCCTGGGTTCGATCCTCAGCACCACATACAGAAACAAAGATGTTGTGTCTGCAGAAAAACTAAAAAATAAATATTAAAAAATTCTCTCTCTCTCTAAAAAAAAAAAAAAAAAAAAGTTATTTGCAAAAAAAAAAGTTTGCTTGCTTGCTTATTTATTTATTTATTCTTTTTAGTTATACATGACAATAGAATATATTTTGACATATTCTTGAGGTTGTACATGATGTGGAGTTACATTGATCATATATTCATGTGAACATAGGAAAGTTATGTCCAATGCAGTCTACTGTCTTTCCCAATCCCATCTCCTCCTCCTTTTCCCCCATTCCCCCCTATCCAATTCAGTGAACCTCCACTCCTCCCTATCCACCAATTATTGTGAGTCAGCATCCGCATATCAGAGAGAACTTTTGGCCTTTGGTGTTTGGGGTTTGTCTTATTTCACATAGAATGATAGCCTCCAGTACCATCCATTTACTGGCAAATGCTGTAATTTCATTCTTCTTTATGGCTGAGTAATACTCCATTGTATATATGTACCACTCAGTAGGCATTTTTTTTTAAGAGAGAGAGAGAGAGAGAGAATTTTTTTTTAATATTTATTTTTTAGTTTTCGGCGGACACAAGATCTTTATTTGTATGTGGTGCTGAGGATCGAACCCGGGTCACACGCATGCCAGGCAAGCGTGCTACCGCTTGAGCCACATCCCCAGCCCTCAGTGGGCATTTAACTTGAGACCCAGTTTGGCCTCAGGGGAATACCACTGAAATAAACCTCTAAAAACCCTATGCAATAGGAAACAGGTCATAGAAACTAGAGCAGAATACACTTCCCACTTAATACTATTAGCTCAGATGGCCAGCTGAGGAAGTTCAGGGGACCAAGCTGTTACGGATGACTATGTAAGTAAGCTGGATCCTGGAAGACCAGAATCATGGGTAGTGGACTACACAGAACCCACCATGCCCCTATGCCCAATGAAGATAGTTACCTTGTCTTCCAAATGGGCTTCACAACGGGTTCTGGAGACCCAGATGTGCTGCCTGATCCTTGCAGTGTGATAAGCTAATCTCATTGGAGAAAATTTCTGCCAGGGCACTCTTCCTTCCATGCTAGCTTATACTGGTGAGCAGGACAGCTAAGAACTATTTCAAATGCTTCAGGTCACAAATCACTCCTGCTGGTTGCCTGGCAAGCAAAGCAAAAGTAAGAAGGAAGGGGTGAATAACCCTCAACCTTTTCTCTTTCCAGGGGCACATGGCCTAAGAATAATCAGAAAAAAGTGCTGATTGGAAATAGGTAGCAAACATCCACTACTTTTGCCTGCATGATCAACAACCTCAGCAAATAATGTTTTTGTTTTTAATTTTAGTACTGGGGATTGAATCCAGGGCCTCATGAAGTGCTCTACCACTGAACTACATCCCAGTCCCTTTTATTTTCTTTTGAAATAAGATCTCATTAAGTTATCAAGGCTGGCCTCAAACTTGTGATCCTCCTGTCTCACCTTCCCAAGTAGCTGGAATTATTGGGGGACTGGGGGGGGTACCACCTTGTCAGGCTAATATTTTCATTTTTTTACTATTTGATTCATGTGTGCGTGTAAATTTTTTTTTTTTCTTCAATTTCTCTCTCCTTCTTCTTGTTAAGTTGCTGAGGCTGGCCTCAAACTTGTAATCTTCCTGCCTCAGCCTCCAAAGTCTCTGGAATTATAGGCATCTGTAACCATGCCTGGCTCAAATTTTTTTCTTCTCTTTTTGGTTTTCTTTATTTTTTTAACTATTGATTTCATTTTATATTTTATCCTAGTTTTATTCTTTTCTTTTTGAATTTTCTATTTTTTTAAATTTTCCTGTCCCCTTTTATCTGTCTTAATTTTCTATCTTTTTTAAACTTTTCAATTTATTGTGTATTATTTTACCTCCATAATTTCTGTTGTTTGCAATGTGTACGTCATAGTCTTTGCTTGGTTTTTACTTTCTGTACCTGCTCTGCTTCTATTTGTTGTTGTTATTGATTTTTTTTTTTTCTTCTTTCTACATGGTGCCAGGGATCAAGTCTGACACTTTGAGCATAGTGGATAGATGCTCTACTGCTAAGAGACACTTCCAGCCCAGCTAAGAGAAATTGCATTTTACTTTACCCAAAACCCAGCTCTACTCAAACATTGCTGGATACTTCAGCTTAAAGAACAAGAGAGACAAAGTCCCCAGCTGAAGACTTGGCCCCAGGTAGGCATGGCTGGGAGAAACTTTAAAACCCGTTCTTGAAATTCACCACCAAAGCAACAGAGAGAAATAACACAAAGATTGTAGAATACTGCACCTATCAAGGACCTTAGCATAGGTTGCTCCCATACCTTTTCAGAACATGTTAAAAACTGGAGAGCTGGGGATATAATCAGTTGGTAGAGTGTTTGCCTTGCACGCACAAGGCCCTGGTTTCAATCCCCAGCATCACCCATCCCCCCACAAAAAAGTAAAAAACTAAAGGAGTGACCACAGAATGCCTACCTAATATATTCCAGAGGGGTCCCATTTTTCTGAGGCCTAAAGAAGAAGTGGAACCCTAAGGCTCTCACACTGCACATGTGTGTCAAATCCCACTAATCACAGCCATACTATAAAATCTGGTTGGAATTAAACTCAACACTTCACAACACTCTGATATCGCAGGACACGTTATCAAGAGAAGGCTGTACTCTAAGAAAGACAATGCAGCATATGAAAGCAATTCAATAAAGAGAAATTCTGGAAAAGAACCAACATAAACTTTGCATATAAAAAACTCAGAAAGTCAAACACAGGGCTGGGGTTGTGGCTCAGTGGTAGAACACTTGCCTAGCATGTGTGAGACACTGGGTTCGAACCTCAGCACCACATAAAAAAGTAAATAAATAAAGGGATTGTGTCCATATACAACTAAAAATATATATATATTTTTAAATCAAACACAAAACTCAGTTGAAAGCTTTACTAATAGATTAGATCAGGTAGAATAAAGAATAGCACAGCTTGAAGACAAGGCTGATGAATTAATCACATTCAGATAGTAATAAAATAAGAAGGATCAGAACATACAATTTTATGAGAATGATATTATGTAGGGCATAGTTGATACATGCCTATAATCACAGTGATTTAGGAGGCTGAGGCAGAAAGATCACAAATTTGAGGCTAGCCTCAACAACTTAGTAACCCTGTCCCACAAGAAAAAATAAAA